AAATATATATATCATATACATATCGGGTACCGATATGTATATGATATGTATATGATATGTAGACGATATATATATTTACACATATCTTACACATATCGGGTACCCGATTTTCTGCATTAATACTACACATATCAGGTACATATCTGATACATATCTGCTACCCGATATATTGGTTTTTGACTAGTGTTTCTAAATTCTTTTCTATTCCTTTTCCAAAATAATAACATTTGGTTAAAATAAATATTGCTTTTTTATCACCATTTTCTGCTAATTTTTTTAAAGAATTAATACACTTTTTACACCATAATTTTTCAGTAAAAGGTATATTGCAATACAAACAATATTTTGTATTTATTGTAATAGTATTTTTATATGAGATATTTAATTTACTAAATTCAGTTTCCATTTGTTATTTTAAAAGTTTGTTTTACTGGAAAAAAAAATTTTTTTTTTTTAGACAAATTTTTCTTTCTTTTTAATAATTTTTCTTAAATAAGCTACTAAAAAGGAATATTTAACCAAAAGTAGAAGTTATAATAAAAAAATATATATTTTTGGGCCATATTTTTTTCTGATGTATTTTATCTACCCTTTAATATAATTAGTTACATTTTCTATAAAAAGAGTTATAATGTAAAACAATATACACCTATTTTCTTATGGCAAGCTATACTTGACAAAAGTGTGCCGTATTTTGCGCCTGTTTTAGGTGCCTGAGGTGCCTAAATAGCTTATTTTAGACAGCAAATCACGCTTAAATGTGGCAGGTAGTATCTGTTTTAGGCACATAAAACAAGGTACACCTGTTGCATTCAGGCACTACCTGCATATATTAAGATTGCTTGTCTAAACCTCTTCAAAATCCTACATCAATCAGTCACCAATTGGTCACCAATCAGGTACCTGATTGGTGACCAATTGGTAACTGATTGGCATTTTCGCCAAATACCGTCACCAATCAGGCAGTTTGCTAACTTTTGATCCAGTGATCAGAAAAGAATGAAATATAGCTCATTGGAATCGTCTTAACAAGACGAATCTAATGGTAGTAAAATCGCATCTCTAGGATTAATAGTTAATAAAAAATTAAATAAAATATAAATGATACATTTTTATTTTTATATTTTACTTAATTTCTCATCAAGTATTAATCCTAGAAATGAGATTTTACTACCATTAGATTTGTCATATTGAGACGATTCCAATGAGCTATATTTCATCTTTTTCTGATCACTGGATCAAAAGTTAGCAAACTGCCTGATTGGTGACGGTATTTGGCGAAAATTATAGTTGTATCAGTAATTGTTTTTAAAATTTCATATTCCGAAATTACGTTACGTAAATATAATTATGGGTTACTTAATTAATTACGGGTTACTTAATTAATTACAGGTTACTTAATTAATTACGGGTTACTTAATTAATTACGGGTTACTTAATTTATTACGGATTACTTAATTAATTACGGGTTACTTAATTAATTACGAGGTATTGATTATAAAGTAATAAAAGTATTAAAGATTTTTTTAATTTTTATAAAATAATTAAAATGTTCATAAAATATTTACACCTGTATAACTATATATTTATTAATTATTACTTAAAAAAGTTATAATATTAAGATAAATGCTGTAAAATTCATAGTTGTGACAAAATTATATTAAAACTGAACTTTATTTTTTATTAAAGAAAAAATCATTTATGATATTACAAAAATACTAATTTAATTTTGATCAAATTCTTCTTGTAATAATGCATTTATATCAAAATCTTTTTCTCCATGATCAACTGGTTGTTTTTCAATACGTACTTCTACAACTTATACTTCAAGAAGTTGACGTAACTCTTCAGATGCCAAATTTAAGTATTCATCAATTCCATTATTATTATTATTTATATCATCTTCATCTTCAACTTCACTTACATCTGAATCCTCATCTCCAAATTCTTCTTCTACTTCAATAGTATCATCATCAGCAAGATGCTCAGATAAATTTTTTTCAATTTCCTCATAAAATTTTTCTTCTTGCAAATCTTGGTATACATATTTTAATGCTGCTTTTGCATTGGTAATATAATAGGCATGTAATTTTGCCATATTTTGTATACGATCAATTCCTAATCTTTAAAAATTATTAAATTATTATTAGTTATATGGAATTTATATAATTCAAAATTATGATTAACTACCTGATTCTTCGTTTATTCATCATCCATCCTAATACTGAAAAAATTTGTTCACAACCAGCATTATGCGGCCTTATTGAAAAAATTTTAAAAGCTAAATCTTGAATGTAATTTTTTTCATCATTTTCTTCATATGTCATACTCCACCAACTTTGAACTGTATATATTTCATCAATAAATTGATGATCATATGGAGCTTTTCTATTTCTGTAATTTGAAAACTGACCAATCAAAATCTGACTAGAATTTTTTTCTCCACCCATTTTAAGCCATATTTCTCGAATGCCATATTCAATTACTTTGCGAAAAGTGCTTGTTTTCATTCCCTCACCTTAATATAAATAAAATATAAATAGTTAAAAAAAAGTTGATTAGTTTATTATTAAACATTTTTTAAAAAAATCAATTCATTAAAAAAAAAAATTTAATTGCTGCGATATTTTGGATGTAATATACAGACCCCGGCGAAAAGAATGGCGGTCAGTTTTTTTGATATCACGAATGTAATCTATAGTAAAATGTGAAATATTTTTTTATTTTCTGAAAGAGGAACAGAAAATACATATATTTCATTATTTAAATAACATTTGATATGATCATCTTCCCGTGTCAATAAATGCTTTAATTTATTATTGCATACTATTCGCACTCTTAACCAGCGTTATTTTGTTATGATATTTTAATATTTTCTTAACTTTCTCGCCATCCAGAGGTCAGATTGAGACAAATTTACCACCATTGGATTCCTCTTGACTATGTGGTTTGAATGGTGGTCTCAAAATTACTGTGTAGCATCTGTGTAATGTGATAGTTCAAGTATAATAGTGAGTATTATGAATTTTTATGTTGTATAAAGATAATCATTTCTAAAAGCAATATAAAAGCTCAATAATATAATAAAAGACCATTATTTAAATCTCGTAATTGCAAGAAATCTAATAGTTGAAATTTTGTTT